TGACCAAGGTTTAATCTGCACTTGTTCTCTGACGGAGGCATTGCTGTTGCTGATAAAAAGTGAGGGAGGGGAGAGAAAGGAGCTGGCTATTATTGGACCTCTCAGAAGAGACAAAAGATCCTGTGCAGTGAGAGGTGGGTTTTCATCCAGAACTCGTCCTTTTACCCACTCCTTAACACGGAAGCTCTTATACTGCAAGAAGCAAATGATAGAGCTTGTAACCAAACAAAAAAAGGTCAATCCATCACTGCCCTTCCTTGCCACAATCCAAAGTGCCAGCAGATTACTGTCTCCTGCCTTGAGAAAAGAAGAGGAAGTTGAAGGGAAGCTCTTAGTTCTCTAGCTCAAAGGGGAAGTACAAGGAATAGGAGCACTGTGGAGACGGAAGAAACCACTCTTTTGTTTTGTAAGCATCCTTGTTTAGTTTTCCTGAGAAGAACAGTCCACGGCTTGCCAGCCTGATGGATGGACATAGGAGTATGTGACCAAGGGAAATGGCAAACAAATACAAAGGGCATTCAGTCAGGGACACGTGTGATGATCTGAGAGGAATTTAAGGAAGCTGGAAAAGATAAAGGAGCCCTGCTGGTGTCGTGGGTTAAGCACTGTATGGCTAACTCATAAAACCCAGAACAGCGGCTCCTCAGGAGAAAGATGTGTCTGTCTGTTTCCATAAAGATTTACAGCTTTGGAAACTCTGTCCTATAGGGCGACTATGAGTCAGAATCAACTCGATGGCAGTGGATTGAGAAAAGCTATCAGATACAGGTCCAGAGGTTTCAGAAGAGATCGTTTTAAAGGAAAACCAAGGAGTTGTCGATATTACTAGGCTTTAGCACCAAAGCTGTACAAGCCCTAGTGTGCTGTGTCAGACAAGTTAGGAAGCCAGGTCAGAACCCCAGTGTCCTTTAGGTTGTGGCGGCATAAGTGTCCACAGGTAAAGTGCCCAGGATGCCTGCTTATACAGAGCACAGGCCAATTTGGACACAGTCAGAAAAGACTGTCACAATATCACCTTCTCAGAGTCCATGCAGCCAACAAGGTAGCAGAAGCTCCGCAAGACAGTGGCTGACTTGCTTCATTGAATTAGGGAAAGGAGGATGGTATTAGGCAGCAGATCTTCTTATACCACTTGTGAAAGGACCCGAGTCCCACAGACCCAGTATGACAAGGGAGATAAAGCCAGCAGGGACATGAATGCCTTCATGTAGACCCTCCTGATCATGACAAACTGGCTGCCTCCCACAGCAGGTTCAAAATGCACTCAGATTTTCTAGCAACCATTTTCTCACCCACCCCATGGGATTTAATCATTCATGCCAAGTGAAGGTACAGAAAAAGGCTTTCTAAACCAACGTGAAGACAAAGCAAGGCATCCATCGGCTCTGGTGATTTTTATATACACCGAAAGCACTAACTTCCTAAGGATAATGGATAGACTTCTCCAAATCTTTCAGGAGATAAGAAAGTTATCTACTTGAAACCTTTATAGGCATAAGCCTGACAAGGCCCTTCAAAGACTCTAAAGATGAAGCCTACATGGCCAGCTATAGAATCAGGCTCTTCAAATTCATTAAAACAATGGGTCACTTAGCACCTATTCTGTGAGGGTACTGAGTTCCTAGGCACCTTGGGTGGGGTGAGGGATGGGAATAGGAGCGATGACTGATGGCTACAGAGATTAGATCAGCCCCTGACCTCAGACCTCAGCAAGTATAAGCAAAGATAGAACCTGTGTCCTCGAAGCTCAATGTAGTATCAGTTGAAAGTATAAAACGGTATCAGTGTTGAAAGAAGAAAGGGCTCACATCTGGTGCAGAGAAATCAGGAGCACTTCATTCTCAGTGGGTCTGGAAGGTAGGGGATGATTGACAGAGCCCAAGGTGCCTATTTAATTTATGACCTTGTTTCAAGGTCAAATCATCAGCCTGAGATTCTATTTCATCTGCCAAGTCAGGATGTATGTCTCCTTCCCATTCTCAGTTCCTTGGAAAAGCAGGTCTCAGTAAAAGTCACATACTGTTATTATCCCCAGGAGGAATGCCAAGAACAGAGCTAGTGATCCCCCACTCCCAGCTCTTAGCCAGAGCCCGAACATATAGACTGGGCAGGCTGCAGCCCAGTGCCAAACCCCACAATTCTGGTGGGAATCTGTTTAATTGGATGGCACTCACTTTGAGTGGGCCCAGAGAATACCAGTGATACAAATATCACACCAGTTCACTGCAGGGTTCTGCATCAAGAATGGGAGCCAAGGAGTGTCTGAGGTATAGCAGAACTAGATGAGAGAGGGAAGGGCCATCTCCAAGTCCTAATTCTGTTTCAAGGCCAAGCTCTTTCAGGACCTCCCTCTTCCAAGTCTTCTCAAATTCCATCAGTCAGATGTCATTAATACCATCCATACCTGGACCAACAGTGGCTTTAGTATCACTCTCCCCGACTGCCTTGGATTACAGTTGTTTATAGACATGCCACTTTCTCACCTTAGTCCTGCACCCTCTTTGTAGCTACTTGCAGGGCACATTGCACAAAACAAGCACCTTAAAACAAACAAACAAACAAAAAACCCAAGCACCTTATACATTTTGCTTGGTTAGCTATTTTCTCTCTTTCTCTTCATCAGGCAACCAGGAGACCTGCCTGAAATTGTCTGGAGACAAGAGTTCTTTGAAGTTCAAAGCAAGATATTTTGGAACTGGTCAGTAGCTCCCACCCAAGTAGTGGGGACAGATTTCTTGAGGGGCTGTGAGAACTGCAAGGGACCACAGTCTAGCACCACAAGGAACAGTTGAAAGGTCCTCTCTTCAGGCAACACTGAGTCATCTCAGGAGCCCAAAAGTGGTTTTATTTTCCTCCAGTCATTCAATTCCAGGTTAGTCTTGCTCCCTTGTAACCTGTGCTAACTCTCAAGATCCAACAGGATGGCCTGAAGAATCCCAAGAGGCAAAGGAAACTGTCCTGTAGGGTCTGACCCTTTATCCTGAGGCAGGTTTAAAAAGAGAATATGAAAAGCACACATAAGACATACCGATGACTGTATTTGGAAAGGTTCTGTGATGGAAATCTAAAACCCAGAACTGAAAGAAAACCTCACCTGAAACCACAAAGATTCAGTCTGACTCAATGACTTGGAAACTGGTCTCCAAAAACACCCCAGTTGGTGGGTCAGGAAACTTTTATGCCTTCCACCAGGCTGTGGGACCTGCCATTATCTTTCTTAGACCTACTCTGGGCATTGAGGGTATTAAATAATCCAACAAAGAGGTACTTCTTTACCCCTACATTCCCCTCAAGCTAACTGAATACTCATTTCCAACAAACTAAAGAAATCCATCTGTACTGACACAAAACAAAGGGGCCTTCTTGAACCTCCCAAGTGTCTGCGGGTGAATCTGCCTTCCCTGCCAAGTTATGTTACCCCACCTGAGTTTTTATCCCTGTTCTCTTAGATTACTCCCCCACCATCACATCTCATGCCACCCACCAGGCTATTTATTTTTTTACAAAACAAATGTGCTAAGGAATGCCTACGAAGAGGTATAAACCTATGACACACCAAAAGAGCAAGACTTTGGAGTTGTCTACTCTGCCAAAAGAACCAATAGATCTGTTTTGGAAGAAGTGCAGCCAGAGTGTTCCTTGGAGGCCAGAATGGCTAAGCTTCGTCTCTCCTACTTTGGACATGTAGTCCGGAGGAAACAATTGTTGGAGAAGGATGTCATGCTGGGTAGGGTGGAGGGTCAGAGAAAAAGAGGAAGACCTCCAACGAGATGGATCGGCCAGGTGGCATCATTGATGGACTCGGGGGTGGCAGCGGTGGTGAGGTTGGCCCAGGATCGAGCATTGTTTCGTTCTGCTGTGCATGGGGTCGCTATGAGTCGGTTCCGACTCGATGGCACCTGACAACAACAACAACAACACTCAGCCTGAGCCTATATTTTCATCTAGGTAATGGGGCAAGATTTCCCACCTCAGTGCTAATGTGTCATGAGATAATAACACAGTGGGTAGTCAAGTAATGCCTGTTGAATGGACCCATAGAACCACCATTAATCTTCATAGGAGCCAGTCACCCTACACAATCTCCCTATTAAGACACCACCCTCTCCCAAATTTAATAATAACCTAGAAACTCTCCTAGCAAATCCAAACAGTTCCTGGAACCAAAGGGACCTTACGTTTCTCTACATTCCAGAGCAGGTCTGGAAAGATAGCATGGAGTGGTAGAAGGAATACTGAGATAAAAATCTGAAGGTGCTACTTAATTCATGTTGTTGTTGTTAGTACAGTCAAGTGGGTTTGAACCACTGACCTTTCAGTTAGCATCTAGTGCTCATCCTACAGTGCCACACCAGGATTCCTAATGCATTCATAGGAAGCTTTTTTTTGGGATCAATATGCATTTTGGACCCACAGGACAGGACAGGATAAGCTCCAAAACAAGATTCCAGCAACAGCATACTAACAGCCTAGAGATAACTCCCCTGCTGGAGGCACATGTCATCAACTTTAAGTAGTCTGAACATTAACTCCTAATAAGTTGGTCAATTGTTAACACAAAGAAGAAAGCAGCATTGGAGACAACCATTTTCCTAACAGACCACCCAAGGCTAGCTGGGGAAGTTCTGATCTAAACTACCTGCATAAATCATTTCCTTATTTGCTGTTCATGGCAGCCAGGATGCCTCAATAATAACAAAAGCTAATGGCTGTTGAACACTTACTGTGTCCCAGGAATTATGAATGCCTTGAACTCATCATCTTAACACACTGAAGCTTCACTGCCACCCTATGAGGTACAGACTGTCACCACAACCCTATGAGGTACGGATTATTGTTGTCCTCATTTTATAGATGAGGAAATTGAGGTTTGCTTGCAACCGGGGGACTTTTCTGAGTTCACAAAGTCCTTGCAAATGTCACAGGACTCTTGCTTTCTCCAACGCCAGCAGAAGCCACCGTTCTCTAAAGAGCCAGCAGCAACTCAGAACTGAACTCACCTGATAAGAAAGACCATCCTTTCGGGGGTTGAGTCCAATCTCCTCCATGGATTGGGTGTTCATCATCACTTCAGTCATCTCGGCTGATCTCAGATAGTCAGGGCTGCCGAGAAACACAAGCCAAAAGTCAACAACACATTCTAACTCTTGGTACGTCCATTGTTGTTAGATCAGGGGACTGTCTGGAGACAGGATGAGAGGTGTTCAAAACAGAACTCGCAGAAAAACAAGTTCACACCCTGAGGAAGCGCCTTATAAGCCCAGAGCACAAGGGTTTTCAACCTCAGCCAATAAAGCCCATTGTCTGAAAACCTCCACTCCCTCTTCTCCTTTACATCACAGACTAGAACCCATTGCATCTGTTTCTAGAAGCAAAGAGCAACTCTGGATTTCCTTTACAAATGGCAGAACTAGAAAAAAACAAAACAAAAAATAAGCAGTAGCTGAATTCATCTGTCTAAATTAAAACCAATTCAACCAGGTCTCCTTTTACCCCTCCAGGGAGAAAGAATTTTAAAAATAAAAGCTTCACATGAGTTGAGTTTTATCCAAAGATGAACACTGCATATTATTATTATATAGTAACAATAAGAGGTCATCCTCAGGGAAACAAAGTCCAGTCATACTGTCCTACATGTTTCTCTGTCTCGCTAGTATTTTTTTGTTGCAAAAATGTCCCATTTAAAGCCCCAAGGGGTCAGCTTCTCTGCAAGCTTCACATCTGCCAACCAACTCCTCTTCTCTAAGGCCAGTCACAGCAGCTGCAAGTTCACAGCTTGAAAAATATCCACTGGACGAAAAGCCTTAAGGATACTGGGACTCTGATTGCAAAGGAAATTTCCAGAGGGGTGAAACTGGCCCACCAATGGCTGACATGTGAAAGTGCTTTGTACTCTGTAAGTAGGATACAAGCGTTCCATTATCCTCCCACATCCTTACACAAGCCAGGGGCACGAATTGGGTCCTATACACATTATGCCAAATACTACACACCAAAGTCTATATATCATCTACACAACAGCCAGTATTTTCTCACCATTATAACTTCACACATGAAGAAAAAAAACAGAGCCGGGCTTTAGAGCGAATACAGCTAAAGAATTAGGGGTACCAGACTCTTCTTCATTTTATGAGCAGAAATGGCTCTGGGTTTGGAAAGGAAAGCGATGAATTCTAGCCTAGGTTCTGCCACTAATAACTGTAATCTTAAAAAAAGTCATAGAACCTCTTAAAGTTACAGGTGTCCTGCTTGTCTGTTACTAGGATGCTGGCGATGACCACCTCACAGTTATTGCATGAAAATTAATATTTGCTGGTGGTGATGGGAAGTTTAGTAAGTGTGAATCAAGAATAAAATAATGCTAAACCTTAGCGGCACTGCAGGATCGGCACTGGACTGCTGACCACAAGGTTGGTGGCTTAAACCCACTAAGCACTCCTTGGAAACCCTATGCAGGGTCGCTATGACTCAAAATTGACTCAGTGGCACTTAACAACAACAATAAACCTTAATTTCTCAGAGGATAATATAGGTGATGGATTGAGTATCTACCTGGGTAGATTTTGCGTGACCAGGCGCACAGATGCCTCCAGCTGTCTTCAAAACCTCAACCGTAAGGCATCCATCCAGCTGTTCACACCATGGGGCATGGGAACAAGGTGTGTTCAGACAAAAAGGGGTTCATAAAGCCTCAGCGGTTGGGAGATTTTACTTAGTTCTAAGAATTCAGTTTCCTCTTTAAACATCGCAGGGTTGGGATGGGGGAGGAGGTAGAAGGAAGATGCTGGGCTGCTGGGCAACTTAAGGGTCAAGAACGGGGACTTCCAAAGGAAGTTATGTCTCCGGTCATGGAAAAGCAACTTCCAAAGAAATGGGCCAGAAGAGCCACGACCGGGTTCTCGCCACGCGCACTCTTCTCACTTAAGGCTGAGGCGCGGGCCCAAAAAGTTCAGGCAAGAAGTACTGAACTTTCCGGTTCTTGGCCTGAACAGGACTATGCAGAAGCTAGAACCTGCTACCCCCTCAGAACCGGGGCCGGTCGGGGCTAGGTTGCCTTTATCAAGCAGCGCGCTCGGGGGCCACCAGCGCTCGTCCCCGGGTCGCTCCTTCTGGTCCTAAGCACAGGGACCTCGCACTGCGTCCAGAGCGCACCCACAGCGCTTCACTCCCGACTCGGATTCCCCGCAGGGTACCAACCCTGGCGCCTGGCGCCGGACCCGGGCTCCATCCAGCTGGGCACTGAGAAGGCGACTCCTCTTCAGGACCCCATCAAAGACGCCTCGATTATTTTAGAACTATAGATAGGGAAGGGGTCGAAAGAGTGCAGCGTCTCTGCCGCTAGTGGTTTTCTGCGTGATATCGTTTTTTCCCCACCCCCAGGAGCTCTGCAAACCGCGCTGCTGCACTAGCTCCACCGGCCTGTACGTCGAGACTTGCATGCAAACAAAAAGAAAAAGGGGAGGGGCTGGGGACAGCAAGAGCTCATAGCGCACCAGGGCGCGCGACTCTGGCAACGCTCCGCATCAGGGGACTTATTAGGGGGCTTCAGGCGTGAACCCTGTGGTTCTCCGTCCATCCTCCCACCCTACATCGACACTCTCTAGCCATAGCTTGGGTGAGAGCTCCGAGTTCACTTCCTTTGTCTGGATGCTTGCGACACACCTCCCCCCACCCCCACCTTTGCAACCTTGACGAAGACTTCAGCACCGGATCAGGCGTTGGGTTAGCGTTGGGCGTAGGCGCCGCTTACTGCGCTAGCACCCTGAGCCGGCACGAGTAGGCTCCCCGGTTGGGCAGCCACGGCCGCGAGATGGACGCCCGCCGAGGTCGCAGGATACTCACCAGTGAATGGGGAAATATACAGACATGAAGTCCTAGGGGAGGCTGACCCACGCCCTTGTGATTTAAAAACGGTCACCGCGTCCCGAGCAAGGATGACACGGGCGCAGACAGACGCACGGCAGGCAAGGAGGGAGGCAGGCGGCCGAGTGCGAGCACTGGGCGTTCGCCGGTCCGCCTTCCCAAGACAACCGCACAGCCAACGGCGTCAGTAGATCACACGGAGATCACCAGCCTCCACCCACCGAGCTCCGGGCCCCACAAAGAGCCGAGGTAGCCGTATTTATAGGGGCGGAGGCGTGGCTTGGCTCCGGGAAGCCCCGCCTTCTCTCGCCCACTCCTGGAATAACGTCACCAAAATCATGAATGGCTTCAGCGCTCGCTGCCCGTGCGGACTACAGCTCGGGGGCGCGCTCGGCGCGGTTCCCTAGAGGACTGTGGTTTGCTGCAACTCTTTGCCCGGCCCCGTCTCCACGATTCTCATACGCGCAAACACGCGCGTGCACACACGCAAGACACATACGCGCGCAAAAGAGCTGGAGTTCAATGTCAACGCCGCTTCCCGCTCACAAACACGCCGGCGTCCGCGCATCCCCTTCTGAGCGCCCTCTGGGGACTCCAGATCGGTGGAGCGGGCCTTGAGGACGCTGAGACTCGCTGTGGACGTGACTTCTCGCCGACTCCCTCTGTGCCCCCGGAGGGCGTCATTCCTCAACCCCGACCGAGCCCTGGCGTCAGCGCCCTTCGAACCCTAACACCCAAACCACACCTTGGGACCCTTCTTTAGCGCTCAGCCCCAAACCTAGACCTCTCTCTTTGCAACCATCGTCCGTGTCATCTCGGGCAAGCGCCACAAAAGCTGTTGTTGTTGTGTGCTGTGAGTCGGTTCCGACTCATAGAGATCCTGTATAGGGATCATGTATAGGTTTCGGAGGAGTGTCTGGTGGGGTTTAGCCGCTGACCTTGTGGTTAGCAGTCCAGTGCTTATCCTACAGCGCCGCTCCAGGACTAGAGCACCGCTGGAAAAAAAAAAAAGAAGAAGAAGAAGCTATGAGAAAGGTGGGAGAAAACGTGGAACTGGGAGGAATGAGCGCACGCGGGAGTAGAGTGGCTTTCACCGGGTTAGTTTGCAGCGGTGAGATCTGTGCAGGCTTCATTTGTGCGAGAAAGGATATGGTATATAGTCCTAGGGTTTTTCCGCAGGACACGCACGTACACGCCTGGCGGTGTGAGAGATTGCGGGTGGGCAGAGCGCAAGCACAACCCAAACCTGTTCCAAGGAGTCGATTTATGAGAGAAGAAACAACAGAGCTGACCTGACCATTCAGCAGAACCTTTTCCACACTGCCCAGAAATTGTAGCCATGGGAGTCTTTCTGGGCAGTCAAGCTTCCCAGTCTCCAGAGCCTGGAATGTAGCCTGTGACTCGGTACCCAGCGCTGCCCCTCAGTGGCTGGAGCGCGTCGTTTCACGCCTGTACTTCATTCTCCTGCAAAATGACTTTATAACCCGGATCTATGTGTGGATGGAGTCCTGGCGTGGCACTATGGGTTAATGTGCCAGGCTGCAAAGCCGTTTGAAATGCAAGGTCGGTGGTTCAAGCTCACCAGCTGCTCCTTGGAAACCGTATATAGAGTCGCTATGGGTCGGAAACGACTAGACGGCACTTAACAACAACATGTGTGGATAGGAATGCGGGAATGGACGGGGACAATTAAAAACCAAACAAAATTAATCTTTTGTAAAGGCTCTAAGGAATAAAGGCATCGAAAATGGGAAACCTATAAACGGATGATGAGATTAATGGTGAGGGTTAGCCATGCCAGGGTCATATGGAGGTTGATTCTTAAAACTCGTCATTCTCATCCTCAAACCAGCCCAAATACAAATAATCTATACGAATTTATAAAAATAATTAAATTTAAAACAACTTTCTTGTTTTTAATTATTTATACAAACAGCCTAAGTAAAAACGTTTTTTTGTTGTTGTGAAGTGCGGTAGGGTCAATTATGACACATAGCTACCCTGTATAGGGGTTCCGAGGAGTGGCTGGTGAGCTTGAACTGTCGATCTTGCAATTTGTACTGACTTTACAGTCCAGCACATTAACCACCAGCACTCTTCATTTTGCTTGGTAAGTACCTTGGAGTCGATTAGGACTCATAGGGACCTTGCGTGGGGTTTTCAGGGAGCGGCTGGTGAGTTTGAAACTCCGACCTTTTTGTGGTTTATCCCATCTAGTGCTTTATCCCACATGGCCACACCAGGACTCTACATCTTATAAATCAGCTTCAAAATAAGTTCTAGAGCTGCCCCTTTGTACCAGATCAGCATTCTTAAACTCCTTCTATAGGTAAATTATGGATCCTCCCCACCTACACCCCCACCCCACCCCCCACCCCACCCCCAGTACCCACAAGAGAAACTTGAAATGAATTTGTGCTGCCTAGCTCCACCTCCATTTGGTTCCTCTGGTGGTGGTGTTTTGTCAGAGGACAATGCTAACAGGAGATGTTCTTAATGTGAGGTTAACAGTAGGGGCTGTTTGTACTTTCTGCATGTTGTCATTAAGTGCTATCCAGTCAGTTCCTACTCATAGCAACCCTGTATAGGTTTTCCGAGGAGTGGCTGGTGGGTTTGACCTGTCGACCTTGTGGTTCATAGTCCAGTGCTATCCTACAGTGCAATACTAGGAGTCCATCTTCTGTATAGGGTTAGAAAATGTTTCAAAGTCACCAGCTGAATATGACATATTGCTATATATGCAGCCAAAATGGAAGTCAAAGCTGGGAGATCAGGTTTCAGGCTGGGGTCTTACTGAAAATTTAGAGCTAAGGTCCTGGATAAGCAGGATCATTTCTTCCCAGAGTAGCAAAGGGAAAGGATAAATAACTCTCTCAAGTTTTGTATTCCAACAGCCACATTTTCCATATTTGTCACTATTGCCTTGTGAAACGTTCAAAATTCTCCAAAAGCTAACTCAACAACCTCCCTACTCTTAATACACACTCTTTTTTGGAGACATAGGGCTTCCACTAGAAAGTATCTGGTGTCTGGGGAAAAACTTCCCTAGATTGTGGAACACTGAAGTAATCACTTGATGTTTACTCTTTAGTAGAGTACAATAGTGGTTTTGTGGCAGAAGCCTCACTTTCCATATGGAAGATCCAGGTTTGATTCTCAGTCAAAGCACCTCAAATGCAGGCACTGCTTGTCTGTCAGTGAACACTTGTGTATTGTATGATGCTGAACAGGTTTCAGTGGAGTTTCCAGACTAAGACTAGGAAGAAAGTCCTGGCAATCTATGTGCATGAAGTCCCCATGAGTCAGGAAGCTGACTTTACAGTAGCTTTGGTAGACTTTTCATTAATGGCCATTGTGACTTAACATCGTCTCTGAGGATAAATTGGAGTGGAAATCAAGTCTCTCCTAAGGTGATTCATTCACTCATTTGAAAAAATAAAGAGACATGGTGCTGAACTTTGATACAACTCTAACAAGTAAATTATTTGCATGCCATTTCTAATTAATAATATATTATTCTTTGAAAAACTATTGCAATTTTTCAAAGCATTTTCACAATTTGCAGTCTCCAGTTTAAGATATGCAGACTGAGTCTGAAATAAAACTAGGGGAGTTGCTGCAGATTATACAGCTAATAAGAGGCTCAAACTCAAGAGTTTGAAAATACACCTTTCCACTCTGTAGTAGAATGTTCCTCTGTGCTACACTGCTTTGAGTCACTACATTTTTCTTCCTTTCTCTAGAGACATGGTTTATTTCCATGTGCAGACTGACCATTTCTTACCAGTGCCCTATGAAATAGGTCTCTACCTGCTGCCTTTGAATAAATGAAGAAATAGAAATACAAGCGAATGAAGTTACTTAGAGCCCCAGAACCTTAGAGCTGAAAGAGACCTTCTAAATCACCTAGTCCAGTCTCCTCGTTTTACAGGTGAAAAGACACTTAAGAGATTAAGTGGTGTGTTCATGCTCGCCAAGCTATTAGTGGTATAGATGGAGCTTGAATGCAGGCCTGCAGTCACTGGTTAAATGTTCTTTCCACTTCAACATTATGCCTTGCACCACATTTGCCAAGAAGTCAGTAGCAAACATCAAACGTAAGAGCTGACTAGTAACCACCTCAGTCTATCACCAGCTATTATTAAGCTTCTAATAGACGCCTAGGAGTCCTGGTGTGGCACTGTGGGTTAATCCACAGACTGCAAAGCTGTTTGAACGGCAAGGTCAGGAGTTCAAGCTCACCAGCTGCTCCTTGGAAACTCCATACAGGGTCGCTATGGGTTGGAACCGAGTCGATGGCACTTGACAGCAACAATACAGCCCTGGTAGGTAGCATAGTGCACTGTGAATTGGGCTGCAAACCACAGTTTGAATCTAGCAGAAAGACAAGGCTTTCTGCTCCCATGGAGATTTAAAGCCTTGGAAACCCTATGTTGTTGTTGCTGTTCAGTGCCATCGAGTAGGTTCTGCCTCATCGCTATGAGTAGAAATGGACTCCATGGCACACCACCACCACCACCATCACTGTATACAAAGCTCCATAGTTAACATTCAGTCAGAGCCTCCTTTCTCTCACCTTTGTCCCCAGGAATTAGAGGGCTGAGTTACAATTCTGCTTCCATTAAAAATCCGGAATCTTATGGTGTACTTAGAATTGTCTTGCTTCCTAGCATTGCTGCTGCAGCATGCTATGGAGTAGATTCTGATTCATAGCGACCCTGTTTCTGAGATTGTAAATCTTTGCAGGAGCAGAAAGCCCCATCTTTCTGCCTGGGAGTAGCTGGTGGATTAGAACTGTAGACCTTGTGGTTAGCCCAGTGAATAACCCATGACGTTATCAGGGCTCCTTTTTATATACATTTAATTTCCCAGCTCCTTCTCTCTCCCACTTAAAACATTAAAAAAATTAAAAGGTAATGAATTTAAGATCTTGTTAGAGTTCATCACAGCCACAAACATGCCATGGCATATAGGATATGTATGTAAATATTCATCCAGTTTAAAAAAAAATAGGGGTCTCCATCTATATGCATATTCATTTGCCAACATTTTCTCACACTGTATCTCCCCTTTGGCTTGCAAAATGCAAAACAACAATGTAACAGTGTTGCATTTAATCTGCCTGGTTTATGGTGAAGTTGGTACTTTGGTAAGCATTAAAAACAAAACAGCAATTGCCCTTGAGT